CAGGGACTCCACTTTGAAAACTCAATTGGCTGAAGCCTGATAATAAATGCTTTGGAGCACCTGCCATGGACTACATTATTTTATATAATCATATCTCAATTCACTTCTTCCTCCCTCTCATTTGATAAGATTCACTGCAGTCTTTCTCTGTCCTCAGCACTCAGCCCACCTGGAAAGCTAGTACAAAGTCTAACCAGGCCCTCTGAATATCCCTACCTACCTCCCTACTCTCTTGTCTCCCGCTGACTCAGCAATGATATGATGGCCATGCCCGATTCATCTCTGAATCCTCAGGACAGTATTCCAGCCAACATAATATGTGCTCAGTGATAGGCTTTGGGCCAAAGTAGACTGTTATGCCACTGCGAGGAGACATTCGGTGAAAAGTTTAGGAAGGCTGTGGCTCTGGTTTTCTGGTCCGGATCACACACAAGGTTGGCGAATGCCAACAGATTCGTGGTCTTAACCTAGCAGGACTGAGGCCCCTGGAAATGAGGAAAGCCCTTAGAAGTAATTCTGCCCAGGATAATGCTGACCTAGACTTCATAACAAGGCAGCAGAGGCATCAGGGTTCAGATATTTGGCACTGGGCCCATGCAGTATGATGTCTACATAGATGATAGTAGACATATGCAGACATACAGACAAATAAATTAAAGAGATACAGACAGATCTATAGACAAAGAAATTAGGCAGATGAGATTAGATAAAGATATATAGATTTATAGGCTGCCTTCATAGATAGATAGAGATAGTTACATAGATTAATAGACTGCCTTCCATAAGTCCTAGATGTCAGATAGAAAGAGAGGGACAGACCGAGCAAAAGGAATTAAAGAGAAGAAAAACCAGAGATGATGGAACCTAAATTCATTCAGAACCCTCATCATGTGATGCATGATTCTTACAAAGAAAATGACAATTTTAGGGGCATCTGGGTGTCTCAGTGGTTGAGCATCTACCTTTGGCTCAGGTCATGGTCCCGGGGCCCTAGGGTTGAGTCCTGCATTGGGGTCCCTACAGGGAGCCTGCTTCTCCCTTTGCCTGTGTCTCTGTCTCTCTCTGTGTATCTCTCATGAATAAATAAAGTCTTTAAAAAAAAAAGAATAGAAAAGAAAATGACAATTTTAATAGCATACAAAAAAGCCAAAGCAAAGGCTTAGCTCCTATAGGTTGCATCAGAATCCAACAGGAAAAGCGAACCACTCCTGGTACTGAAACTAGAGGGAATATAATGCAGAGAACTGGTGTCCCAGGTATAGGATGACTGAGCGATCAAACAGACAGGGCCGAGAAAAGCTAAGGTAGGCCACTGGAGGAAGCCCTCGCTAGCACTCTCAGGATGGAGCGGGGGAGGACAAACTTTCCCTGCCAAGGTCCACAGAATAAGTCTTCGGGCTTCAGGCCATTAGGTCTCTGTGCCAACTACAATATAGTGGCAACTCTGCCCCTGCCAGTTAGAGACAATGTGTACATGTAACGGCTGTGTTACAATAGTACTTGCACAGATGTAGGGCTGGATTTTTGCCCTGGAATTGAGGATCTGCAAGCCCCAGGCAAGCGAGGCAAAAAGAGTATAGAGAGTCAGACTCACGATAGAACCTGAAACCAAGGCAAGTATAAGGAGAAATGCAAAACGCAGTCCATGTCTAGACAGCATGTAAAACAGTGGGAAAAGGAAGAGATACCCTGGAAATTCTCCTACACTGGAGTATCCTACAATTCCTCTCATTGCATAAAGCCAATGGTAGACTACCTGACCGGGGAACCTAGAAGACATATTCTGTGGTTACCAGTCTCTGTAATAACAAAGAAGTACAAAGATATAAGAATATGAGGCTGGAGTACCTGGGTGGCTCAGTGAATGAGCATCTGCCTTTGGCTCAGGGCATGATCCTGGGATCAAGTCCTGCATCAGGCTCCCTGCAGGGAGCCTGCTTCTCCTTCTGCCTAAGTCTCTGCCTCTCTCTGTGTGTCTCTCATGAATGAAAAAATAAAATCTTTAAAAAATATATAAAGCTGATAGAAACCCAAAAAATCAACATCATCATGAGTCAACTAATTTCATATATATATAAAAAGTGGTATAGGTCATATCTCTTACTTCAGATTGCTGGCATAGTCCTCATAAAACAGTGGTCGGTGGGGGGCATGTAAAATATAGAGATTTACAGCAGGGCAAATGCATGAAAAATAAAGGAAATCCTAGGGAAGGGGACTCGTGGTCAGCCACAGGACCTACACAGACTCAAATGCAAGCACAGGGGAAGGATGTGGGTGAGTGTATGCCCACATATTCCTGGGTATGATCAGTGATTTCTCAATTCCATTTTTTTATCACTATGGGTGTTTTTTTTCCCCCGCATTAAACTATCTGATATTAGAGAACTCACTGCTGTTAATTTTCTAAGTGTTACATGCATTAGAAAAAGAGTAAGGTTTGGAAACAGACCTATTAGCAGAAAAGATTATGTAGAATAACTATCTAAAAAGAACTAGTTATCTGATTCAGGCCCTGTTAAGTCAAATTCTCAATTCTCAAGCTAAAATGCTCGTTGGAAGGTAAACAGAGGCTCTGGGTGAAACCAAAACCCACTTTTAGAGGCAATTTCTACATATTTACCACATTACGGTCAAGGTCAACTTAGTAAGAAAACACTTTAGAAGAGAGTCTGACATTCTAGGTCCTTTTGGATGGTGCAAAATTATAAACTCATGAGGTTTAAGAGGCAATTACCTAAATAAAGTTAAGCCATTAAAAGACTAAGATTGAGGTGAAAAAGTCAATGACATTTTATAGAGAATATATTACTTAGGACTAGTAAAATTTTAGATACTCATAGCATAGTAATCTTCTCTATGTCAAACTTCTGTTACCTCGTTTTTAAATATAATATGGAAATCCTAAAAAAAAGAGAAAAAAAGCAGCTTACAGTTTAAAAAAATACCAAGATAGGTTGATCAGGGCATTTTAACTACATCTACAGAGGGTTAATCACTGCGCCTACAGATTTTCCATGGGACTCATTTTCATAAGTCAAATTAGAATCTTCCTCCAAAACCCGCAAACTCTTAAGTAGCAAAAAAGTCGACCCATCAGTTGAAATCCTTCATCAACCTACAAAGCACACCTCCCGTGTAAGATCAGGAGTGGCCTTCCACGGCTCTATTCCACTGAGGTTTTATTAAACACATGCCCCAGGTCTGGGCGTTTATTAAGTCTCAGAGCCCAGTGCACTGAAGTCAAAATTCTAGAAACCACAATGAGAGAAGGAAAAAAAGAACACAGCAGCTCTGTGGTAAGACACCAGACCACAGGACAGATATAAATACTCCTCTCCAGGATCCTCTGTGCCTTTCGCATTTGTGATGTCTCTATCCAGGCCGTCAACATTTCTTGTCTCCCTCCTCATTCCTTCGCTCATCCTCCCATAACCTCTCTTGTCCTCCCTAGGCTCCAATATTCCCCAAGCTCACAATTTTTCTTTCTAGCCTTTATGTTCTTCCACAGGCTGGAGCTCCCTAACTAAAGATGGTTATTGATGTACAGTACCAGTGTTTTAGTGCACAGCAGAATCAATAAACGAGAAAATACTGCTTTGTCAGGCTTCTCCAAAGCATGCCGGGAAACTTTACTGCTTCGGATGGTTACAGAAGCTCTTAATATGGGAGAGCAAGAGAAGGGCTCCCTTCTGTGGCAAGAAATGATGTTCTCCTACCCTCTAGTGACTATAAAGGAATAAGACAAAAGTTAGGGGAATGTTTGAGACAGCTGCACATTATTATTTATTGTCTCTTAATTTTATTTCTAAAAACAAAACAAAACAAAAACAAAACAAAACAAAAACAAAAGAAACCAAGAAACCAGAGTCTTGCAAACCAAGTGACCTGGTGAACAAAACAACTTATTGGAGTTATTTTTAGAGTTTTCAAAATGCAAAGGATATACGTTTTAGTGGAAGGCGGGCTTTGATTCCTTCAGATTTTAAAAAGGAAGGTTTAGAAAGTTCATCTTTCTTCCCAAACGACTAGTGTTAGAGAACAATTCTCTCTCCGCCTCCCCTCTCTATTTCACACATGCACTTTTACAAACTCACAAAGCCTTTGTTTCAATCACCTTATTTTACAGAGAAGTAAATAGCTGTTGTATGGTGAGGTTGGAAATGAGAGCTGGCGTGCACTTGTGCACGTAAGTGTGTGTAAATGCATATACAGAGATCGTTGGGTTATTTGCCAAATACCCACGCACATGACGGCCATGTTGTTTTTTTCTCTTTTAAAAGTAGCAGAGCAGCAAAATTAAGTCATAAATACTTTTCTGGTTTTGTTTATGTTCACACCAATTTTGACATGTAGTCACTCACAAAGTACTAATTTAATAACCAGATAAATCATGCTTTTCTACCTTGATACACGCAGAGCTTTTACAAATTGGACAACAGTTTATAATTGCTTAAAAAGACACTAGCAATGTTAAAAAAAAAAAGTCCCTGGTACTTCATGAAGAAATCTTTCAAGAAACTCTCAGCAATCAACATAATAAATGGTAAATATGAGTAATATAAAAGAGATTTATAAACTATACCACATATTCCTCTCAATTAATCTTTTCATTGCCCCTACAACACCAAAGCTAGTTTCCATGTAGTGGCATATAACTTCCTACAGGGCTAATTCTAACAGCACTACACTCCAAATAATCCAGGCTTAATGAAGTGGAACATTCTAACATGGCTGGTACATATAAAATGTCACCACTAAAACATGTATACATTCAAACATCTGGCTATGCTGCTTTTAAATTTCATTTTAAATGAAGCTTCATTTAAAATGAAATTTAAAAGGGAGGTTGTTTCCTTTCTATTCGTAGCAACAGTGAGAGGAAGAGAATACTGTCACTATGTATGACAGTTGGATAATACCAATCATGTGTACGTCTGTGTTTGTACAAAGATGAACTTTTCCCCAAATGATGTAAAGAAAAAAACAGGTACATTTACCTTGCTGGCACTCAATCGCTTCCGATTTGACCAACGCTAGATATTGAACCCATTGAATGATGAAAAATGGTAAAAGGAAAGAGAGAAATAGAATCATTAATAACAGCATTCCATTATTATATTAGCCAAATATGCATATTATATTCAAACAACTAACACCTGAATTCCCAGTTTCCAGAGAAAACACATTTGAGCAAGAAAACAGAAACAGGAAAATCACATTTCTGTGATTGTGAGACATCATTTTCTCCTAGTATTCAATAACGAGGAGACGGCAACATATGAATACTGCTCAATCTTTACGAGTACCAGTTCTTAGTATGAGAAGGCTCTCGATCCTTTAAATGATTTTCACTGTCTTAAAGCTCTATAATTTCAGGTCTAAAAGCAAATTGGAAAGGGAGATTTCTCCTACTTGAAATATTCAATAGTATTCTAAAAATGTTTAAGAAGTTTACGGACAATATGAATGCATGTTTAGGCTTCCATACTTTTAGATACTAAAAAAAAAAAAAATAGTCAAAAAAATCATTCCTTTTACCCTCAATGAGCAACTCTCAATATTCATAATAATGGAAAAAATCCAAGCTGTTTCTGCACAATTAAGAAAAACAGGCTATATACCACGGAGGGAGGGAGGAACAAATTTTCTGAACAGCAAGTAACTTCACCACTGTTCTCTTTTGATCTCTCATTTGTCATGCTAAGGCTGCTGAATTTCATCTACAATTAAAATTCGTCCCTAGTAAAATCCTCTCATTACCCCTGTCACCGTCCAGGACTGCGAAGCTCTACTCTGGCTGGTTAGCCAGCTAACTGGATGTTAAAACTTGGATAAATTTGGGAGATTAAAGCACAATTATGAATCTAATCGAGCAAACCACATTTACTATTACGCTTAAGGAAAAAATACCTTTAGGCGAATGACCTATCCACTTTGCCAATATGTCTTCCCAATCAATTAGAAACCAGAATATAAATACTCTTGGGAGGAAATCCACTTACCTTCCAGTGACCAGCAACTAGGAACACTGGTGCAGAAATGACTTGGACATATTCTTTATTAAAATAAAGCACTTCCCCTGGTTAAACTGTGAGTTCTGACATTTACATGTGACACACAGTTATAGATGCTACAATCTGGGTATTAAAGTCAGTTCTTTGTCTATTTTCCCAACATCATGACAAGTATTTTCACCCAAAACAACCACCAAAATGAATTAGCATCTTATAGGTACAAATGTCTATTTAGGGCTCTCTAACATATAACTCATCTGATTTTTTTTAACAATCATAAAAATTAAACAAAATAGGTAAGGAAATTAATGGAAAATAAATATCCTGTCTGCTTACCACGGTACTAAGAGCTACCATATATTGACAGCCTACCACATGCCAAACACTAGATTTCATAATCTCCATCTTCACATTCCTGTAAAATAGTTTTTTTTTTTAATCCCCATTTCACATGTGAGGAAATTGTGGTTGAAAGAGGTTAAATAATTCTGTGAATGTGACCTGATCACTTAACTTCCAAAGCATGAAAGTAGTGGAGCTGGGATTCAAATCCAGGCAGTCTGATGACCAAACCCACAATTTTAAATACAACCCAATAAAAAGAACCAGTTGGTGGGTTTGTCAGCCTTCCACGCAGCACCTGCTTCCAATACACTGCCTCAGCACCACACCCATATACACTTACACCCCTGGATGTGAGGGTGAGTTCATAGACATTTTGCTTGTGTTCAGATTTTTGTTAGCCTGGTTCTAAGGCGACAAAAATTAGATGGTGGAAATTTACAAACGATTCCCAGTTGAATAATCTATTATCTTTCCAGTCTCGAGTGTTAGTTATTGCCGTTTAAAAATCCCACATTAAGAATGTCTTTAAATATTCACTAGGTGAAAAGAACAAATGTTTTCTGATACCCACTCTATCCAAAAGGGCCCCATATACGCTGCATAGGTTAGATTATTCCTTGCTTGGGTATACTTTGATCAAGTACATAAACAGAAAAATAAAACTACCGATCAGAATAAATGAGAATAGGCAAGGTTTCCTATATTATAATGCCCCATAAAATATATATGCAAGAAATATGTTGTATAATAGACCTCTTCCAGACAAGCAAAGAAGAAAGAAAATGAGAAAGCACAGGAGCAAGCAGATACACAGTCTGGCAAACTCTTAAAAAGAAGTCAGGGGTGGTCGAACTCAGTAAGATGACAAGTGTGGCTCCTCCTAGGACTCTGAAAAGATATTCTTTGAGATGTTTTATAAAAGCAAATTCGGGCAGCATCCATTATTAACACCTCTGCAATTTGAAATAAATTTTTAACTAAACTGGCATTACTTTAAAACTCTGAATTTTGGCGATATTTAAAAATATTTTAAGGGCCGGTGTGACTGTTAAACATAATCCAACATACTACAGAAACACTCACAACAGGAATAAATATGCAGCTTTTTTCATGAGAAAGTATCCAACTTTCCAAACCCCACTTAAATATATAAGAAAATTTTCAGAACATCTCAGATAGCAATCGCTCCATGGTGGCAAATGATACTTATGTACAATGCATGTTATTTTAGCATGGCATCCAGCTCAAGGAACCAGCCACCTACTACACACACTGACACTGAATCTAGTAGCAATACTGTCAAGGCTGAGAGAAGCTAAAGAAACCTCTCCTTCACTATGTTGGATAGGAAAAAAAAAAAAAAAGGCTTATTTTTAATACCAATTAAAGGTACTTTAACATCAAAATATCAGCTTTACTGAGGTTTCAAGTTTCAAAAGTACTATTTCTTTAAAAATTAATAAATGGGAGGGTTTTTTGCCCCAGTTACTGTCAAGTAAATGCTTCAAGTAAAGAATTCAAATTAAAAATAGCAATGATTTAGTTGACTCTCTGGCAACTGAAAAATCACTGTGCAGCTTTGCTATTCCTTTCTGCTATTTTCTGTGAGTTTACTAGTAAATCAGTCCTGATTTTCACCATGAAAATAAATTACAACTAAAAGCAAAGGTGATGTCAAAATGAAGAATATTCTCCTCATCGACCCCACTGACTCAATTCAAGAAGTACTACTGGAGCCTAATTTATAAACAGGCTTCAGATTTTCCTACCACATTCTAAACATGCTTAAATTTGAACACATTCTAGTCCTTTTCCAAGTAGGTATTTTAGTTGGCTTTAAAAACGCCTTTCAAGTAAGTTACAATCAAAGATGCTTTTTGTTCTTATTTTAATTCTTGGAATTATAAGGTCTGACCCCTGAATAAAAAATAAGATTATGATTTGTATTCACATATTTTCTCATAAAAACAGAGCCTCAGTCAAATCATCATAAAATCCATTGCTTTGTTGGTGTTAGAGAGATCTTCAATAGGCCATGCATTAACTAGAAACATCCATGTAATAATAGATCAGAGGATATTAAAATTTATATCTTCCCCAAAGTACTCTCAACAGGAAATATGAAGCTAAAAGAAAACAAAATAAACTGTAATGCTACAAATATGTATTTGTTCACCTTAATAATGTACACTATAATAATTAAATCCTGGGAACTGCTTTGCATAACTGAATAATGTCTAGGTCACCCAGTACTTAAGAAAATAGTTAATGGAAACCTTACCACTTAGGAAAAGCATATACATTTTAATAATAGGAATACCATCCGCATCCCTAGCCAAAGCTGAGATCATTCCTTAAAGGATTTTCTTTCCAGAGTTCCAAAAGAAAGGATGCATAGAACCACAGATAGATACTTTACATTTTGGCACAACTATTTGTTTCCCTCCAAAAATAATTACCAAAAAATGCCAGCCATCTGGTAACCCAGTTATCAAAGGACAATTGAAGAACTTTGAAAAGAACAAAAGAGTCATACTTACATGTCTCTTGAAATCACCCTGTTTTACTACTAGGCTCAAATTTAACACAATCACTCCCATGTCCTCTTCTAAACTGTTTGGGTCTTCCAATTTTAAAATATGTTCAGTTGTTCTATAAGCAAAAAGCAACAAATAACATAAGCACTTATGGGCAGTACTAGGTAGTGTCATAATGCATAGAGAGATTACAGAAAAAGTCTCCTACCTCTGCATAAGCCTGTGACGGGAGTTTTAAAAAGCACCAGATCTGGTAAAAATAACCCAACCATCTTCAGAGTAGGGGAACTGCTTGGCATTGCCTAATTCAACAGTTGGTTAATGGATTCTTTTCCCTTACTGCCCAAATAAAATTTAAATATTTGTTTTATTTTTAGGTTAGGTAGGTTAATGAACCTGAATAATAACAGTTCAAAATCCAATACACATTTCAGAATGCATTGTGGAAGATTTAATGTTTGGGAGATAAATGATAAAATCATTGAAAATTCACATTTTAAAGCACTCTTTCATGTATTCAGATTTTTTTTTGTCATTTGATCTAAACAAATGTCACTTAACATTATCTTGAGTTCCCTCTAAAATTCAAAATAACAATTAGAAGGTAAAAATACAATACCTGTTAAGCTCAAGATCTCTGAGAATGACAAATGCAGAACCCATGAAATCAGATGTAGTTAAATCTCGATCATATACCTACAAAGAGGGAAGAGACCAGGAACACAAATTAATACGGTAAACCAAGTAAATTTATCGAACTATTAATAAATGCAATTGGCTGGGAATTTTGAATTCAGTCTTCTAGACCTAAAAAATAATTTGCACAGTACAGATAATGGAGAATTAGGACACGCCGATGGCAAGAACAAAGATTATGCAAACTTGCCCATTTTGCCTACTACCACCAAAACAACAGCAGAAAATACTCTTAAGGCAGTATTCATATGCACTAAAATGTTATGCACAATGGATCAGTCCCTGTAGTTTAAATGGTCTCTCATTAAGATTTAGTATTTTCCACGGTGAGCAGATCTGCCAATTAAATAGAAATTTGCTAAATATTCTATAGCAATCCCATCCTGCATTCAACTCATGCAGCTTTAACCCAGATGTTAGAGCAATTGATGCTTACAACCAGTAGCTTAAAGCTCTATTAAGTATAAAGTTATTCCTAATGAGAAAGGCTTTCCTTCTTGTCGCCACTACACCAGCAGTAATAATTCTTCCACGTGCAGTAAGTTTAAATACAATCAATGGAGATATTATTTTCACTCTGATTTTCTGTGGAGTATACACCACTGATCTGAGGAAAACATAGTTTCAATGGAGGGTATAAATAATCCCTTCTTCTCTAAGATGTTTTACCCAGAGCTTAATAATAATAAAGGAATTTGGGAACGTTGCCTTTTTAAGGGGGCAAAGATTGCTGAGAAATCAATGCTTTTAATAAAAGAGCAGATTTGAAAGCCATCTGTGATTACCTTCACACGTAGCTTTTGATCAAGGCTTTGAATTGGAAGTACAACTATCTCATCCCAAACTGGGTTCAAGTTCTTATATATGACTTTACTTTTGTACAGCGTCTTCCCATTCAGCTTAAATTTCACATAGGGATCGCTCGTGCCTTTAAAGAAAAAAGAGAGCAAGACAGGTTTTAAAAATATACGTAAAAGCCCAGGATCTCCGTTAACTAAGGATTCTTTCCACACTCCCCTGGCTCAAAGCATTTCACGGAGCACGCCCAGAACAAATGTCTCCCCGTGCGTGGACTGAAGGCCCCAGAGGGGGCAAGGAGAGAAAAATGAAACAATTTGGGGTAAATGACTGATCCTTCTTTGCCCTCAGTGGCATAATACAAATGGGCTCCTTGAGCTTTTTCTGTTTCATTTCATTCTGGGTATGTCATCACTACATTAGCCACAAAAATTCAAGACACAAAATCCACCGGCACCTGCCAACGGTGTCAGGAATCCTGAGGAGAAACCAACCCCTCCCAAGAATGGCAGCAAGTCAGTGAAAAGGGAAAGAAACTATTTTCAAACACTTGGCCAGATGGCTGACTCAACAGAAATCTGTACTTTAGAATGTAATCATAATAAATAAATCCATCTCTGGAACCACTGGCTCAAAAGATGGGGCAAGAGGACGAAAGACTAGAAGGGGAGCAGAGAGATTAAATTGACAAAGTTGCCATTCTCTGCTGCCTCCTGCACCTGCAGTAAAGCCAGCGAACATTGTTTGGCCCTGGCTGGGGGAACAGCCACACCAGCCAGGCCCTCCGCTGGCCTCAGGGCCAACACCCCTGACCCACCCAGCTCTTCCTGGGGAGCTTTGAAACAGACACCAAAGAGAATGAATAATATCTCTCCAGCCACTATATCCAAAGCAGAAAGAAGGGCTGAGGTCAAACCCTCCTCCACAATTTCAGATCAGCTGAGGGGCAGCGGGGATGGGGGTGGGGAGGAGGACTGTAAACAGAAACCGTGAATTCTGTGTTTTGCAGGTCTGTTGCACACCTGCAAGTATGCCGTCATACTTGCATACTTGGGACATACTAGCGCAGTGTTACCCAGTGAATGATGAATAAAGAAGGCACAAAGGAATGAATAATCAGTGAGGAGATAGCTGAAGGCCAGCCAAAATGCCACAAAGAAAGAAAAAAATCTAATTTGAGGAGTTATGATATTGTAATTAACTGTGAAACAGACAACATGATTCAGTGTCCAAAGACCAACAGTCTGTTTTACCTGTTGGGTAAATATATCTGGTATGGATATATATTTAAGATATATATATATATATATATATATGCATATATAATATATATAATATATATATATCTGCATGCCGTGGACAGTGCCCAACACAGGCCCCCATATATTTATGGACGTGAATTCCTACTATAAAGTCAAGCCAAAATAGTCTAAGGTATCATCTCAAAAATTAATTAGGCCACTCTGTTGCAAACACTTACCAAATCAGTAATGCCCTCCTTAATTACCTTAAGCTTTTCTTTTCGTTAGCTCCTTTTTCGGGTTTTTATTTAGCTGCTGTATTAAAAATTACTGAACACAAGTGCAATACCCTCCCCAACTATTTGAACAGAAAGAAATTGCACAATAAAGGAACATACTGTGCATTTTTTAAAAGCCTCAATAGATTAACCAAGGTATAATTCGGGTGGTAGCCTTCCAGTATGGTAAGACTTCTAACTTCAAGACCAAGAAATTAAATCACAAGCATATACAAATACGCAATGTACTCAACTCTCACGTTTTAAGTTTGGCAACACAGGGACAGAAGCCCAGCAGTCTTTATTTTAAACTTGGACACACGCAGACACATACACACACATGCACACCATGTCAACTGGCAGCTCTGAACAGGACAGTAAAAAGGAATGCATTCACAGCCATTCAGTGGAATAGTCACTAGTGAGTGAGCAATGCACCCCCGCCCCCTTCACTCCCTTTTATAGTACAAGAGAACACCTCTGGCAAGTCAGACTTTAACAATCATTCTGATATATATATATATAAAAAATGTGGGGGGAAAACTATAATAAAAAGAGGCCTTTAATTAAATGAAATTGCCACTCTGGGATCGGGACTTCATGCTTGTCAGCGTACTCTCAAAATAAACATCTCAAAACCAGACCTCGGTGGTGTCACTTTCTCACAGGCAAAGCATACTGGGTAATCCCCAGGCATCTTGACAGCTACATAATGTTCAAACGGTTTCACGGGTGAATGGCGTCAGTTGCGTGAAAGAAAATATTAATGTCTGGAATTAATAGAAAAAGGGACCAGGGTTTACAAAGCCAAACAAGGAAAGAGAGTGTCAAGTTAGTGTGGCATTAATTGTTAGGGAAAATTTGAGAAAGGGAGGGAGCACATTGTGATTTTTCTCCGTGAGCCTAAGTGCCTCACTGTCAGGGAAGTGACATCTCAACTAGGCAGGTTCTGAAAAGGGGTCGGCTGCTCAGGAATGCAACTCCCCGATTATACAAATGATGAGATGACACCTGAATGGGTGGACTTTAACCTTTTTTTCACTGGGACCTTCACCAACAATGAGGCTCCTTGGAAGAAAGAGGTGGTGTGGCGCTCTGGGAGGAGAATGAGGCCAGGAGGCCAGACGGGCGCCCCCGTCCTGATGGGGCCACTGATTCTGCCCTTGTGGACCCGGTGAGGGTCACACAACCTCGGACTTGGAAGATCAAGATGGTAAGCATCAAGGGTCTGAGTTTCCTGCCGCACTCCAAACACGTGGGGGTTCGATGCTTGCTGAGACAGGCTCACAGCCCTTCACGGGTCCTCCGACCCTCGTGCCCACAATGTGCGGAAGTCCTTACTTCTGCTCCTACTCAGTGACATGACGCTCGGCCAACCCTCCCTGGACTCTGTACCTGCCAGGCCTGCTGACGCTGCTCACGTGCTACAAACCCTGAAGGCTGATTTCAGAGGCTGCCTCAGGGCTCGGCACGATGGGGGGCAGGCGTCACCAAGGTAAATGAGTCCCAGATCCTGCTTCAGTCCAGTCTCCTGTACCTGGCGGGCAGCAGGGACACCATAAATATAACTAGGGGGTAAGTATCAAAACAGAACTGAACTCAGAGGTGATAACAGCTCACAGGTAGAAGAGATGAGCCCAAACTGGGGTGGCTGTGGAGTCTGGAAAAAAAGGTGCTGGTAGAAATATGGGTGGACCTGAACACACGGAGAAGATCTGAGGTCATTTTAGCAGGAGAAAATGGCAGTGAAGCTGGGGAGCAGGAAGGAGACCCAAATGGCAAGATCTGTGTGGTGCCAAGCAAGCATTTCAACTGATCTGGACATTGAGAAAAAATACAATGAGAAATAAAATTGAAAAGGCAGATTTGAACCAAGCCAGAGTGCTTTACTTTTTTTTAAAAGATTTTTATTTATTTATTTATTTATTTATTTATTTATTTATTTATTTGAGAGACAGAGACAGAGAGGACACAAGCAGGAAGACAGGAGAGGGAGAAGATGCCCAACTGAGCAGGAGCCCAAAGTGGGGTTTGATCCCAGGACCCTGAGATCATGGCCTGAGCGGAAGGCAGATGCTGAACATCTGAGCCACTCAGGCACCTCCAGGGTCAAAGTGCTTTAAAATAACAAAATAAGGAATTTAGTTTTGTTCGGTAAGAAATACAGGGTGTTTTTGTCTTTCTTGTTTTTTTTTCTTTAATTTATTTTTTTAAATTTTTTTAAAGATTTTATGTATTTATTCATGAGACACACAGAGAGGCAGAGACATAGCAGAGGGAGAAGCAGGCTCCCAGCAAGGAGCCTGATATGGAACTCGATCTCAGGACCCCAGGACTACCACCTGAGCCAAAGGCAGATGCTCAACCACTGAGCCACCCACGTGCCCTTTTTAAAAAATTTCTTAACACACATAAAACATGCACAGGTCTTGCAAAGGTATGAAATGAAAAAGAGAATCTCTATTCTGACTCTGACTTTCCTCATTCCCATTCCTCTAATGGGCTGGTTTCATAGGTTTATTATAGGAAAAAAGATACAAAAATTGATTTTAACGCAGGTGTAATCATATTACATGCATTGGACTTCATGCTTTCACAATTAAAGCAATACAGGTTCACCAGGTTTTTTTTTTTAATCCACTGCTTAAATTTTCATTACTTACATCACTAGCCACCAAATAATAGATATTTACATCACTTCCATTTTTTTTAACAATTACCATCAATACTATAATAAGCATTCTCGTATGACTCTCTTGGAATGCATAAGTGAGTATATTCAGAGGAAATTTTTAACTTTGGAAAAACTGCACATAAATATGTGCCCTTTCTGGTTTGCATAGACATTGTCAAATGGCTCTTCCAAAGTTCATCAAATTTACATTCCCACCAAAAGTATATGTTTTGTACTTGTTTTTGTTTCTCTGCATGCTCCTCAAACTGGATGTTATGTGCCTTTGTTTTAAAAGAACAGCAGTGGAAAAATAGTATCTCGATTTTTCTCTAACTTTGACATTTTGAGTAAAGTTTAGGATCTTTTGTATTTTAGTGACCTGCCTTTGTATTTCTTTGTCAGGGAAATTTGCATTCATATCATTTGTCCATTTTTCTAAGGTCTCATAGTTTGTATTTGCTTCAGGATTTGAATGAGTCTTTAATCAAGGAAATCAGCTATTGGTTATAAATCTTGTCATAATTTGTTTATGCTTAAGCTATTTATTGCAATATTTTTTTTCACTTTTATTTAGTCAAATTTACCAAAGTTTTATTTATGGCTTTGTAGTTTAACATCCTGCTTGGAAGAAATGTTCTCACTGTAAGATTTTAAATTAGTTCAGCTATGTTTCCTTCCCCTGATCTTGTATTTTTTCATTTATGTATATAAGCCTTTTGTCCATCTGGAATTATTTCAGTGTGAGGAGGGAAGGAAAGTCAGGTTTAGGTATGGAACAGGAAAGTAAAAATGATCAGAGCCAAGCTTAAGAAATATAAATCTGGCAGCCGCTTATAATGAAGGAGGCAGAAGAAACTGGGGAAAGCAAGAAAACCTGGTGCTCGAGATAAGGCAGCCCCAGGGAGTTGGGGGCGAGCAAAATGCCGCACCCGGACCA